ATGAATTCAATGAAAATATAGTAGAAAAATCAATACCAGAATTGATAAAGAAAAAGAATTTGTGAACTAAAAGGTTATTTAGGGATGGGGATATAGCTCATTTAATAGAGTACTTGCCATGCACAAGGCCTAGGTTCAATCCGCAGCAATACTGAGAGAGAGAGAGAGAGAGAGAGAGAGAGAGAGAGAGAGAGAGAAAGAAACAGGGACTCAGAAGCCTGACCTGAGGGATCAGGTTAGGGATGAAATCAGCCCAGGGGTCAGTACTATGGGTGAGTCCATCTTTCGTTCTTATTTTATTGACTGAGATTGGAGTATCTGATATTTGGTCCAGAATATTTCAGGGATTTCAGGCCCAGTTGATCCCAAACAAGAACGTAAACCAGAGAAGTCTAACCTTGAGTGTCCCCTTTTGCTCCCACATTTCCCAAATGGAGATTACCTTCACTTAGCTGCTTTTTTTCTGATCTCTCCAGCTGCCCTGCTGTGCCCAGAGCTTGAGAACTTTCTGGAATCTCCTGCTTCTCCCTGGAAAATCTATTTTTAAAGTTTTTTTTTTTTTCCCCCAGATCTCAGGTGCTCAAAGTGAATCTGAGCATCAAAGTCATGACCTGGGGATAAAAAAACAATGAATTTATATTATTCTTCCTAAATAAAAACTGTATTTGATAACTGAGGCCTTCCAGGCCCTTCTGAGTACCCTGGAGAGGTCACAGGTGGTGGGGACACAGTTTCAGTAGTAATTACAAAACTCTTTTGATAGAATCCTCTACTGCTCATCAGATTTCATAGCTGTGATGAGTCTATCTCTGAACTGAAATCGGACAAGTATTTTGATCCCGAACCCTGAAGGCAGATTGTTTCCATGTCAGAGCTCCCTGTGAAGTGGCACCCCCTCTCTCCACAGAAGAAGCTCTCTTCACCATGGCTGATTTTAGGACTGTCAGCAAAAGAGTCCAATATAGATAAACTTCCTATTTTCGTGTTGCCCTGTTTTACTTGGCCACTGGCAGGGAAGATACAAGCACTGGACACCCCCTTACTGGTTTTGCACAACATAGCGGTATAGTACTTCGTAGAAATGTGCAAACAAGGCCTCTGGCCTTGAGCTAGGCTTCACAGAGATGTCTACATTTTTTTTTTAATAATTTTTTTTTTTTTTTAGAGAGAGAGAGAGAGAATTTTTTTAATATTTATTTTTTTAGTTTTCGGTGGACACAACATCTTTGTTTGTATGTGGTGCTGAGGCTGAGGATTGAACCCAGGCCGCACGCATGCCAGGCGTGCGGGCTACCGCTTGAGCCACATCCCCAGCCTGAGATGTCTACATTTTTAAGATAAATTATCAATTGGCCTTCATGGTAATAGCTGGCAGGCGGAGGAAAGAAAGGGGAGAAGAAGCTCTCCCCTTCTCAGATGTTGTCCTTGAAAAGTTAACTTGCCCAGAACAGTGAAAGAAAAAGCTGCTTTTATGTGAACTTCTGCAGACTGGGAACTTCTGAGCCCCTCCCCTTACATGCTGGGTATAAAATTCTGAAACTATATGAACTCGGGGTTCAGGGGATTAATTGATTACAGCAAAAGCTGTGCCCTCTGAACCTGGCTGCAGCCAAATAAAACTGTTTCCTGCTATCTTTGGGGCCTTGCCTCGTGTGTCCCTACAACACCTGGAAGCTTGCTGGGAAGGAATTTGAGATCAGGGTCACGTACTACAGTGGGGAGGAGCATCAGGAGGGATTGGGAGAGACTGAGAATATCTGTCTGGGAGAAGACTATCAGGTGTCTGTCATGTAGTCTCCTGAGGCCTAGGAGGAGACTATAGTAGCCCCACTTGTCTTTGCCACCTGGGGAATATCTTCTGCAGCTTCTCTCTTCAAGATGAGGCCTGAGCACAGTGGCATCTGCTCCCATCAGCATGGAAGCTGACAAGGACAAAACTTCAGCTCTGTCCCCTTTTCTCAACCCCACTCACAGATCCTGCATTTACAGAAGAGTCCCAGGGAATTCAAACGCACAGTAACATTTCAGACTCAGCAGTTGTGGGCCCTCCTGCCAGTTGTCATTAATGAGGGTCTTGCTGGAGGAGAGAAAGCTCTGTTGGCGTGGCTTCTATTAGTGAATATACATGGTGCCCTGTGATAAGTCAGCAGGGACAGGACAAGCTCCACCGGCCCCTGGAGAACCTTCCCTTCACTCTAGTATTTGGGAGGGTTACCAGGAAGGCTACTGTGTGCCGAGCTGTGTTTCAATTTTACCACCATGTCACTTCTGTCCCCAGGCAATCTACAAGATGGTCTCCTCTGTCATGAAAATGCCTGAAGATGAGTCAACTCCTGAGAAAAGGACAGAAAAGATCTTCCGCCAGATGGACACCAACAGAGATGGTAGGAGGCTGGGCTGCGTGGCTTTGCTCTGGTCAGGGCTGCGGGTGGAGTCCAGGTGGGGAAATGTGGCTCAAGGACCTGGCCCAATGCCTTTCATAAGAGTAGCTCATCCCAAAAGTCCCTGGAGGAGGACCAGGGTGGCCACCAGAGAGCTGGTCCCACTTTGAGGGGAAATGCTTTATTTCTAGGCCCTTCTGCTCTTTTTCTATGTCATGCTACATGCCCCTACCCCTGCCACCCCCCACCCCCCCAAAAAAATCAGATGGGTCTTGTAGAACAGAAATAGAAGGACCCAACAAATCACTGTTAGCAAGACCAGTGCTCAGGACAGGCCTTGGCCTCCATAGACTGGATTCCTCCAGGCCAGGGTGTCAGAATGCAGAGAGGGATTGTTATCACACCCAGACCCCAGCAGCTTTCACCCCAGTCTGGCTTTATTGGGGTCTCCTGTACATGCTCTAAGAGACAAGTGGACTCTCTCAGGAGTTGGGGTGGGGTGAAGGCCTTAGGGTGACCAGCAGGTTCCCACCCTGAGGTTGTCACCTACAATTGAAACCCAAGTGGATGCAAAACAAAGGGACATGAAAAGGGAAGATTTTATTTCAAACTCAAGAGCAGACAAGATATATTAGGTACCGAGTTGCCAAACAGAGTATGAGAGGCCCCAGTAAATGAATTTGGATCAGTAAGAAGTGACTTTTTCAGTATCAGCATGCCTACATTCAATATTTGGGACATATTGATCCTAAGAAACTGCTTGCTGTTAACCTGAAATTCCAAGTTATCTGGACATCCTTATTTTATTTGTCAAAGTTGGCATTGCTATTTAGATGCAATACCCAAGTTTCAAGTGCTAACTGAGCTCAGGGCCTGGTCTATCATAAGCTGTGTGTTCTTGCTATTATTACCAGTTCACTTGTTCTGCTAGGAGTGCTCAGCAATTCTTGTCAGCAATGTGAAAATGCACTTGTTCATCCTGTGTGTCGCTGATGTGTACAACAGAAGGCTTTGTGGTGGGGCGGGCCTCTTCATAAGCTCACGCCTGGGGCACCGGCAGCCTGAGAAACTGGGTTTGTGTGGGGCAGGCCAATCTGTTTGCTTTGTTTCCTCCACAAAGTTGCCAATGCATCCTCTTACATCCTATTCCCCCATGTGCCTTGATTTACAGTAAATAGTCTGTTGTGCAAAGATGGAACAGAAATGGGATTGTTTTAATAGCTAATGAATTTGCTGGGGTTAAGCTGCAGGTTTTGCTGGTACTCCTGGGAACTCAATGGACTTGAGATGCAGTCTTCTAGATGCAGTATTCTCTTTAGAGAAAGGCTAAAAGATGGGAGAAGGCCAAAATACCCTAGGATCAGGCCCTCCCCACATATTGGTGACAGGCAGTGAATTAGTGTCTCCCCGTTGAGTTGCTACCATGAGATCCAAGGGCCCTGATTGTTCCACATTCCTACAACACAACTTACTGAAGGTGCTGTGCCCGCTCCAGGGAAAGATTTAAATTTAAAAAAGAAAAAAGTGGGGATGGAGAGCAGTGGAGGGAAAGAGGAAGAGGGAGGGGCCTATCAGACAGTAGTCAGAAGAATCTCAGGAGACCCAGGAGACTCGGGGATTTACCTTAGATCCCCAGGACGGGGGCAACCTGCCCACTTCCCACCTGGAACAGAGCAGGTGCAGAGTCCTGGTGGAAGCTCTTTGTATCTCACCCAGGCCTTTGACTTAGGGAAAATTTGGGTCCACAGACAAGTTAGCCCTTGAGTCAGTCTTGAAGTGCAGAGTCAATGCCAAAAAAGCTGAATGCTCATGTTGAATCTAGTGTTCCCCAGCTAACTTGTGGTCCCCAGGGCCTACCTTTGAGAGATTCCCAAGAGTTCAAGTGACTGCTCCTGTTTCTTTTCCCTGATATCTTTGGAAGCCAGAGCAAGTCATTGCCACTTTAACTAGTGCTTGGACAGGGACACAGCTACTAAAGCTGGCTGCACACAAAGTTTAGAGGGGAACTAACTGCTTATGTATTATCAGTCAGTCAATCCAATCAATGAGTCCCCACCTTTCTCCATCAGGGAGAAACAGCAGGTTTGCAAGATAATAACTAGGTTCTGGTGAGGAATGGGGGTGGCTGAGAGGAAGACATGTTTGTTGATTTGCGTTGGGAGGAACAGGACTCCCATATGTAGCGCCCTTAGCTGCCTATGTTTGGAACAAATTGAGAATTTACAAAGCAATAACTGAAGCCAAAGGATAAGAACTCCAATGGAGGAAGTATCTTAGGGTGAATCAAGGGTATATCAGGCTGAATGGAACCAGACCCACCCAGTGCCTGTTCTTGGAAGAACAAACAGAATAAGTCTCTAGGGGAACTCTGTCCAAGAAAAGGAGGGCAAGGCCAAGCAGAAATGTCCAGCAGTTGCCCCTGCCCCAGCCCCAGATTTACAAGTCAAATGAGTCACTTCACTCCCAGGGGCACGGTAGGCTAAGAAGAAAGGACATGCAGAAATACCAGCGATATGAGAAAGCATTGCCCCCAGCCCCCCACCCTCTTCCTTGCAGCAAAAGAGGGGCCCTCCTGGAAGAGAATTCAGGACACACTAGCTTCTGCAGGAAGAAAAGGGACACTGGAGGAAAAGGGGACCCCAGATTCCCTCCTCTAGCTCATAAGAGATCACCTTCTGCCTGGAACATACCACTTTATTCATTTGTGATTGGAAAGAACCAGTACTCATGTCCAGGGCCTCTCTACATGCCAGGGGAAGGATCTTGCAGCAAACCTATATATATGCCCAGTGGTCTGAAGGACCCAGAAGGCTCCCAGTAACCTTGTGGGGACAGCCTTGGTGCTGCAGAGCCCAGCTTCTACCCATAAAGGTGTGAAGCCATTCATCCTACAAATACTAAGTGGGCCTTTCAAGATAATAGAGACGGAAGAATCAGGAGGGCAGGGACCCGATCAGGAGATCCGCTACCCTCTCCCCAGCTCTAGGTCAGGGTGGGCAGGAGGTGGTTTATCAAGAACTGCTGCGCTAGGGGCTGGCAATGCCACTGTGAACCAGGCAGCAGAGTCCCCGCCTTGTAGGTCTCACATTGAAAAGACAGTGTCCTGGGCGCTACCCTGGGAGGCCACGGGCAGGTGAGCAATTGCTGCCACCAACATGCTGTGGGGAGGTGTGAACTCAGGCGCCTGAGCTGCCACTCAACTCGTCCCTTCTCTTCCATCCTAGGAAAGCTCTCCCTGGAAGAGTTCATCCGAGGGGCCAAAAGTGACCCGTCCATCGTGCGCCTCCTGCAGTGCGACCCGAGCAGCGCCGGCCAGTTCTGAGCCCAGCACCCCACGATTTGTAGAGCTGCTTGCGTTCCCTTTTTGATTCTTCTTTTTACGTTTTTTTTTTTTTTTTGCCAAAAAATTATCGATGGTGATGCTGTCCCCTGTGCAGTCAGATGCACCTTCCTCCGTGATGCCTTCGCCTCTGCTTCATTCATCGTGGACGCTTCGTGGGAATGCCCAGAGCCCCAGTGTGCGTGTGGATAGCATGAGCAGACTTCGTGGTGTTCCTTGTTTAATGACTTTCTAATCGTTTTTATTATTTTTTTTTCTTCTGATTCTAATGTTTCTGTTTAAAACCCAAGACTGGGGCGGGGGGCAAGAGAAGGGGATCTGATTAAGTCCAGTGATTCCACTACAAGCTTCCAGGGGCTGGGTTTGAAAGACAGAGCTCTCCACCTGGGTCTGTTGTCACACGTGCCCTTGGGGCAATGGATGGCACCAGATGCTGGATTCCCCAAGAACAAGTTACCCTCTGGGGTGAGGCTACTAAAGGGAGCTGGGACATCCTCTAGGAGGCCCACTCTGCCCTCCGCCCCAGCAGGCTGTAGTTTCTAAGCTGTGAACATTTCAAGGTCAATTCATAGAGAAGAAAAAAGATGGCTCAGCTATTTTTTTCACAGGTTTACACTGGTTGAGCTAATGTGAGTTTCTTTGGAAATCAAACACAGATGGCAACAGTCCAAAACCAGACCCATCTTGTTGCCTATTGTGATTTTAAAAAAGAAAGAAAAAGAAAAAAAAAAAGACTGCTGTATATAAAATACTGGGATTGCAAACCAAATTAAGTGTTTTGCCTTGTAAATGCATGTTTAGTGAGCACTAATACAATCTTATTACAGAAGACTGTTTTTAGTAGCTTATTGTGAGTAAGCCAACTATGATGAATGTCTACGTTGTCTTGTTTCAAAGTCAGATCTGTCTTTGCACAAATGTACCAATCAACAAGTATATTTTGTATATTCCATAAAAGTCCAAGGTAACCATGACGAGGGCCCAACTTTGATTCAGAATGCTTTTCCAGAGTCACGGTGACTGGAGAACAGAAGCAGGGCAGGTTCGAGAGGGTCATGTCCTGGGGGCACCAGGAGGTTAATACTTTTGAGAGGGGCCATGCTAGTGGTTTGCTGGTTGAGCTCAGCAGCTCATGGGCAGCATGAGATTGGAGGTACTGTTCTTTTTTGAGCAGATGACTGTTTTGGAGACTTGGGAACAGTAGCCTAGGTTCTTGGGACTTCCCAATAGTTTAGCCACTATCCTCCTTAGGGAGCCATATTAGGAATGCCCACTTTTTTTTTTTTTTTTTTTTGCCCGTTCAAAGAGTCTGAGGGGAACAGTCATTTAATTCATTGTAAGAAGGCCCAGGCAAGTGTGGCCATAGTGTCCAAGACCCTGCTAGCAGTGTTTTCCATCACTGTATTATTTGAATGCAGATTTCTCTTTCCAGAAGTGACAACATACATTTGAGTTGCTCTTTGGGCGTGACCTCATGCACACTAATTTTAATGGAAGATTAAGAGGAAAAATCTCCCGTCACTGGAAAGTCACACGAGCAGCAGTTGGGTGGCATGGGATGGAGGAGAGGCTGAACACTCCAGGATACAGAGGGGACCTGTCCCAAATGACGGCAGAGAGGTCCCCAGGGAATCTGTCTGCTGCCAAACCACTTCCTGTAAAAGAGGAACCACAGAAAAACAAACATAACTTGGAGGAAAATGCTACTGGGCGCCTTCTAACCTCCAGGTTCCTGTGTCTGAGTTGAATCTATTCTAATTAGTATAAAAAATCCAAATTTATGTGGTAGACACAAAAAACACCTTTATAGGGTAAAATTGTGAGACCTGGAATCAGTAGCTTTAATCTTCCTCTGAGGATCCATTCTTCATATTCTATGCCAAGACTTGCCAAATTCCTCCATGGGCCAAGTGGTAACATCTGTTTCTGTAAAATAGGGAATTAACCTAATTTCTGGAGTGCAGAGGGGAAAGAGGGTCCAGCACGCTCCACCTGGAGTGTTTGGGAGTTGCATCCCACTTTTTCCTGCTGTAGATTGAAGATAGGATTCCTCCTTTCAGTTCCCTTTTGATAAGTGAAGTCAGTTAAGGTTGGAGCAACCTGCCTGGGCTCTGCCCTAGGTCATGACATGTGGAACCAGACTCACTCTGTTCCCTAGAATGAAGCTGGAGTGAGGAACAGAGAAGGCCTCCAGCTGTTCAGGAAGAGAGCCAGACACATGATTGACAGACACTGCTGGCCTCAGAAGGTACTGAGATCGCCCGGGTGCTGCCCAGCCACTGACCCACACTGACTCTTCTCCAGGCTGTTTCTCTCCTTCTCCTCCTCCCAGGAAGGCCTTGGCAGGTGGAATCCACTCAAGTTCGGCCAAGGGACTGCACAGCCCCCAGAGGGCTGAATGCCTGAAGGCCTCTATCACTTCTGTACTGGGTTGTTCATTGCCTTTGCTGTTTTCAGGACTCTGGAAATGGAGTCTGTTCTGTCCCAAGTAAAAACCAGACTGTGGTGTGCAAGGGATTGGAATAAAATGACTTATGACCTGAAGGATACTATGGAATGTTTGACTGTTCGTACGTTGCTTAGGGTAGAGAAGGGGTGCTGCTGTGGGTGCTGTCCCATCCCAGTGATGTGTCCAGGGAGACTGTCCAGGAAGATTATATATATAAAATCATGAATCATTAATCGTTTGGAGCAGCCCCTTTATCACTTGACTTTGTGTAACTCTTGCCTGGCGTTAAAGCATGTTAATTATTTAATATGATTGCTTGGAACGTGGAACATGAGATTTTCCTGACTACCCCGCTGCCCTAGCCTGAATTTATACTTAGAGAGGTTCCAGGTTTGAATTTTGGTCTCCTCCTGGGTATTGTTTCTGTCCCAGAGAGACAAAGTCCTATCTAAAAGCTTCCTCGGTCTTGGGGCTTTCTTTCTATGATAGCCTTTACTTTCTTCCCATTTCCTTCCCTTTCTCAGGCTGGAGTCCAAACATTAGGCACAATAGAAGGAGAATCTAGCCAGATGCAGTGGCGCACATCTGTAATCCCAGCAACTTGGGAGACTGAGGCAGGAGGATTACAAGTCTGAGGCCAGCATCAGAACTGAAGGAGGCCCTAAGCAACTTAGTGAAAAACTGTCTCAAAATAAAAAAATAAAATAAAATAAAATAAAAAGATCTGGGGAGATATGGCTCAATGGTAAATCATCCCTGGGTTCAATCCCCACTACCCCTGCCTACCCCCAAAATTAATAAATAAATAAATAAATAGAAAGAAAGAAAGAGAATCTCAGGCAACCTCCTCTTCAGGGGTCTGGGTAAGCCTAAGGAAGTCTGTGCTCCTCTCCCTTCTCAGCTTCTCAGTCTAAGAAGATTTAGTAGAAGAGATGACACAATGCAGGGTCTACACCCCCAAAGCCTTTCAGATGAAGGTGTTTAGGTTTTGTGGTGGTCGTTGGCTTGCCCCCATCTCAGAAGGCCAATGCTGTAGGAGAAGGGGGCTACTAATTTGCTAACTTGAGCATCACGTGCCTCATGGTCCAACGAGTACTTGTTTGGCACTGAGTATGAATAACACCAACTCATTTATGGTGGTGATGGGGAGAAAGTGCCATTTAGTCAACTTTTTCATTGCTGTGACCAAAAAACAGACAAGAACAATGTAGAGAAGGAAAAGTTTATTTTGGCTCATGGTTTCAGAGTCTCAGTCCATAGATTGTCAACTCAGTAGCTCTGGGCCCAAGGTAAGGCAGAACAACGTGGCAGAAGGGAATGGTGCAAGAAAGCAGCTCAGGACATGGCAACACGAAACAGAGAGAACTCCTCACCAGAGACAAAATATAGCCCCCAAAGGCATGCTCCTCCCATCGTACACCACCTACCTACCTACAGCTATCACCCAGTTAAGCACACACTCATCATTTTACCTGTGAAAATGATTGCACTATCTCACACATGAGCTCTTGGGGGACACCTCATATCTAAACCATAACAAGTTGTCTGGGAGCCTTCAACCCAGTGTGGAGCCTACACACCTGCATTCTGGCAGCTTCTAGCACATTTCCAATCCTGAAGCTCCCACTTCCAAGGCATTTGGTCAATGTCCCAACCCAACCTCAGTTGGTTTAGAATGAAAGGAATATACTGGCCGGGGTGGAGTCAGAGTTCTCTCTATCAAGGTGAGATCTTCCCTTAGAAGAAATGGAGATGCTTCCCATGTGCATCTATTATTGTCAGGTGTGTGCTTCACACTTTCTAAAATTTTCTAGTTTTTGAGCTAGTTGAAGAAAACAAGAGAAAAGCATTGAGTCCTGTATTTCACAAGTCAGTAGAATATCAGTCAAATAGATGTAAAATAGAAAGCTTGTTTCTGCATGGGGAAGAGCTGTTCAGGCCGAGGGTTGCCAAGGATGTTACCAAGGACTTACTCAGTTCTAGCAGGTTTCGCTACAATTAGTCCTGACCACATGTCTGGGATTTAGACAGGTCCTAGGAATTCACTGTACTGAGTGCTCATGTGTAATACATAGTCCAAGACATCCCTGGGGATGTAAACAATGATGGCAGTCTAGAGCTAAGTCTTGGGGTCAGCTCAGGATGAACAGGGCCACAGAAAGCCTTACTTCATGACTTATTTTCTCAGCACTATTCCAGGAAGTGGTTGGTATTTTGTAGTTCCCTATAAGAAATGAAAAGATTTCAAAATGTGGGATATCTGGGCCTGCCAACCTCAACCTTTCAGCTCATCCACCAGTACTCCTCACTCTTAAAGACAGGGAGGCTGATGGACTCTCTCTCTCCCTCTTTCTCAAGACGTATCTTTCCTATAGTAGCATTGAAATCACTTTATGGGGCTCTGAGTGTTCAATGGTGTTATGGTTTAGATGTGGCGTTCCCCAGAAGAGACAATGCAAGAAGGTTTGGAGGAGAAATGATTGGGGTATAGCCTTAACCTAGCCAGTAAACTAATCCCTAATGGGATTAACTGAGTAGTAACTGGAGTCAAGTGGGGTGTGGCTGGAGGAAGTAGTTCATTGTGGCTTTGGGTATGTATTTTGTATCTGGAGAGTGGAGTCTCTCTCCTTCTGCTTACCGATCACCATGTGAGCTGCTTCTCTCTGCCACACTCTTCAGCCATGATGTCCTGCCTCACCTCGAGCATCCAGGAATAGAGCCAGCCTTGTATGAACTAAGACCTCTGAAACTGTGAGCCCTCAAATAAACTTTTCCTCTTCTACAATTGTGCTGGTGAGGCCCTTTAGTCACAGCAGCAAAAAAAAGCTGATTAAAACCAAATGACCCCAAACAGGATCAAGCATTACAGTCTTGGAGATGGGGGATGAGACTGTCATATTGTACATATGACAGTTTCTTTTGCTTTTCTTTAGGAAAGGGCCATTCTTAGAGTAGGGGGAGTTAGGAGTTATTAGCAAAGTTGTAGGAAACCAAGTTCATGGCTCAGCAAGAACTTTCTGTCCAGCCTTAAAAACAGATGCAAAATAGCTTACATCTCTGCCCGATAGCAGAACAGCAGTCAAGTTCTTTCCTGAATGATGCATGGATAGCATTGCTGCTCAGGAAAAACAGCAGTGAAATTCATCTTGGCTGCCTTTTCACCATGCTCTTCTCTTGGGATGCTTTTGGCTGATCAGAGGCCCAATATATGTACATAGTGGTCACCAAGGAAACCCCAATATATGTGAGGAAGGTGGTTTGAAGTGTGGATTCCAGGGCAGGGAGTGTCTTGATGCGATAGAGTTTGAGCCACATGGTTTAAGCCTCTGTCTGTAGAGGTTGGTTGGATGGACTAAGGAAGCAGGAATCTTCTGTAGGAAATCAACCGAGGGACAGTGAACCTGGGAGTGAGCATGGGAGAAGTGAACAATGGGACCTACTCCCAGCCCAACTGCCCTCCGAGGGGCCTGCCATCCCCACCAAAGGTCTCTTGATGTCTTTCACTGCCTTCTGCTTTAACCCTGGGGTGGGGCAGGTCTGTGTAACTTCAAGAGCACAAGCCTGCTCTGTTGGAGTCCAGGACCTGAAGGTGCTAGGGAGCCTAGAACTTTCCCAGGTCACATAGAGACTTCTTTCCCATCAGCCCCAACACTCACCTCAGAGAAAACACCAGACTCTGTTGTCTTTCTCTTATGTTATGAATATTTATTTTCTTCTTAAAAATGTACAAAAAATAAAATAACTGTATTTATAGTTTATAGATTCCCCCTCTCCCATTTACAAAACTATTAAGTTACATTTACCTTTTTTTTTTTTTTAACATTGGAGCATATTGTACATATGACAGTCTCCCTTGCTTGTCTTTAAGAAAGGGCCATTCTTAGAATTTGGCACAAACCCTCTATTTTGGTTGCATTTTCATGATTTTAAATAAGAAGAAAAATAAACGTTTGATTCATTTCACACTTCCCAAGGTTCTGGACTGGGATATGCCTTAGTCTTTCAGGAACCAATTCTAAGATGACATCTGATTTCATTTTTCTGTTGGTTCCAATTTCCAAACACAGGTAAATTCTAAACAATTTGGGATGTATAAGAAAAATACTTGTTTCACATGTCCTCATCTTTTATGAATTACAAAAGAAGAAGAAGAAGAAGAAGAAGAAGAAGAAGAAGAAGAAGAAGAAGAAGAAGAAGAAGAAGAAGAAGAAGAAGAAGAAGAAGAAGGAGAAGAAGCTTATTTATTTGGGTATGATCAAGGGAACAAGAAAGAAGAGGAGGCATGTTTTCCTATCTTTCTGGAGTGTTTTTTTTTTTTTTTTTT